GGGGAGTATAGAGCAGAGAAGCGGTGGGGCATAGAGGTAGATTGGGAGGGGGAGAGTTGAAGGGAAGGGGATTCCAACATCAGTAGAATATTCCTCAGGCTCTTCACCTACGCTGAAGCAAGATGTGACTTTGATTCCTGCCTTGGGTAGTCTATGTTATTGAGTACAGTCAAGGCTCTAATAACCACCTGTACAAGACAAGTCACCAATACAAATAATCACTTATCTTCCTTGCCTTTTTTTTTACCTTATAATAACACTGTTATTCAGGAAGTTGATTGAGATTGTTTCAGAATGCTATCAGGTCTGCTGGAGTAATAATATAGATCGTAAAAAGCGTTGACCTTGCCATCAGATACATTGCACTAAGGCGAGAGAGTGAGTCTGATGTTTATGCTGCTCTTCTTCACTTTAAACAGACCTTTGCACAAGTCAAAAGTTTTCTCCTCTGGGGATGTATTTGTCATCGTTACACATTGACGGACGAGCTGTTATTAGAGGTTGTTGTTGAGCTGGAATTCGCACTACACAAATGCTATTATTATTAGTAGTAGTATTATGAAATTTCTATGACTCACCGTGTAGAGAATGAGCACAGTGACAAACTGTATGAAGCTGTACAGAGCCATGTACTTGAAACAGCCAAAGGATGTCACCAAAGCCGCTCGGCCCTCCCTGTTGAACGGAATAACACTTACAAAATGAGTCAAAAAGCTTTCAAAGAAAACAGACACAATAAAGAAAAAGAAAAGAAAATCAATATAAATAATAATAATAATAGTTTGTTCGCCAAGGTCTGACAATGACAATACATCCACAGAAAAGAATATTTCTCAAGTTAAAAAAGAAGAATAAGAAGAATTAAAGGTTAAGATGACTTGAGGGTTCTGCTGTCGCTGATGAGACCAATTCTGACAGGGAAAAACTTGTCACACTTTAAGCATTCAAAAGCTCAACTGAATTAAAAACAGACTTAAATTGCTCATGCACTGGCAAATCGACCTATTTTACTTTGTTATGTTTATAACCCTTTGACAGCCCTTAGATTAACCAAAACGCTAGCACTATTGAGAGACAATTCCATAGCTGCCAACTTTTCACAAAACCTAAACAACACTCTATGAATGTGAGGGGTCAAGATAGTGTGGGCATTGTACAAGTAGCCCACCTCCAAACCCCTTCAGACACACTGTTCAGTACTGTAATGTATGACTGATGTTATGAAATGTAAAAACGGGAATGAACTATTTTGCGAATGTTGAAATAACGATTCTTTAATACCACAATTATTTACCCTTCTTGATATGTCACATTTTGTCTCGTTTTGAATTCACACGAGATTTCAGTGTAAAATAAACAACAATAAAATCAGTTCACCGGCAGGCAGGCAATAGAGCGGTTGTGAGTTTTCCTCTTCTTTTCACATATTAATCTTTTATCATGTGAGGCCATATGCAGTCGTCACAAGTACAAAAGTATTACAGCAGTACGTTACACTGACCTCATGGCAGTGACCACACACTCAATGTTGTTGACGCTGGAGGTGAACGGTGCCGCCACAGAAGCCTCGGCCTCCGACAGGGAGATGCCAGCGTGGGCAGCCTTCAGAGCCTGGGAAGAAGAAGTGTTTTGTCACTTTGTGTTTGTGTTTTAGTAAGTGTTTTACAGCACTTGCAACACAATTAGGTAATATTTACAGTGCTGAAGATTGGAGGTGTTACAAAAGATGTCTGATGTCTGTTTGTTTGAGTAAAGAGAAGCACATTGACACAATAATGGTAGCTTAGTGCTGGGAAAAAGTAAGACAGACAGACATAAACAACAGTGGAAAAATAAAAAATTAGGATCTACCAGTAGCGCCTAGGGTTACAAGAGAGAAACAAACATAAAAAAAGAAGGAGAGATAAGAGTGATAGATGTTTGATAGGAAAGAAGGAGCATACCACACCAGAGCACCCGTAAACCACCCACTATTTTTTATTTGACATATCAACCTAAAAAAACAACACGAGAAAAAAAAAAAGGCTTTGTGACAAAAATTAGCTATCTCCAATATACAAACTTTTATATGGTTTTTTTTAGATCGACACAATAACAGTCATTTAGTACAAGGAAAGAGGGTAAGACAGACAGACAGACAGAGAGACCCAGAGAAACACCCGAAGGAAGTAGTACCCTCTAATCACCCAGAGGGAGTAAGCACTGACTTACCACGACGTGCCACAACCTCACCACAATGGTTTCATAGACCCACCACAACATCATCACAATGTGTCATAGCCTCACCATATCGTGTCAAAAATTTGCCACAAAAACAGTTCATAGGTCGATAACAATGTTTCATAGACCCACCACAACATCACCATAATGTGTCATAGTCTCACAACAATTTGTCAATAACTCACCTCGCAGTCATTAGCCCCGTCTCCACACATGCCAACCATGTAACTGTGGGAATAGAAAGCATTATTGAGCACCAACAGAAGAGAAAAGAAAAATCTTGAGAAAGTCAGCGATGCTTATAAAAGTTTATATTTGGGTTGCCTCTTCTGTTTGTGTTACAGAAAAATGTACCCAAGACTACCACTCTTTGTAAAGGAGAAAAGTGGGAATCTTAGACTAAGACAGGTGCTTGGTCCCCTTGGACAGTATCATTACAATCAAAAATACACTCTGAATGATTTATTATTTTTCTAGTAGAGGGTTTTACGGCGCTCGCAACTGCATACGGTCATATGAACGCCAAGGGGTGGGTGTCAACAGAGAAGTCTTTACAGGGAATCAGATTTAGACTGCTCACCTCTCTAGCTTCAACAGCACAAGGTCTGCTTCGACTATCAAGGCACCCCAAAATAGCAGGTCACAAGAGAGTGACAAACAAACAAAAGAAGTAGAGGAAAATGACAATAGTAAGGATCAGGAAAGAAAAAGCAGCAGTTCCCTGTTGTAGATCAGGCACAGTTATGAGCGTGACATGAATCAGCCCATTTACAATTCTACTATGCTTGAACGAGAAATGTCCCCCCTTTGTGAATGGCCTAAAGACACTACAGTCAGTGGCACTACAACATGACCACTTCCCACGTTGCATTTTAAAAATAAATATTATTATAACGACAGTATTAGGGAGGACCACATGTCTAAGACAACTGCTTTTCTTTACAGTAGGATGTGGCCATCTCAGACAATTTCCACTGCAACTTCCATACAAGAAACTAAGAGGCGTTTAGCATTTTCCAGAATTATACGATCATCAGACAAATCTGGGGGTGTCTTCTCTTGTCTAAAAGTAGCAAATAAAATAATCCTCCCCCCCCTCCCACCTATATACCCTGCCCTACAGGTGTTTTTTTTTGACAATTAGATACTATTCATCTATTCAAAACTGCACTCTGGCTTGCTTAGAACACACCTCCGCTGGCAAGATCTCTGGCAATAACTTCATTTTCACCCCTCTTTCACCCATCCACAACCCAACCATACCCAACTCACTTAACCACCAGCCACACACCCACTACAAAACAGTTGGGAGTTGGGAGTTGGAGTAAAGAGAAGCACATCGACACAGTAATGGTCATGATCTTATTGAAATGTTCTGGAAATTCACTGAGAAGCACTGGTGACTTACTCCAATTTCTGTAGATGTTCAATCAGCTGACACTTTTGATCCGGGGACATCCTGGCAAACACGGTGCCCTCCACACAGATCTGTCACAAACAACACAAAATGGAGAACAAGTTGAATAGAATACGCAGCCAAAATATTAAAAAATGTATAAGCAAGAGTACATTAATTTTAAAATCCCAAATTTTTTATCTATTTTTTAAAAAGTTAGCACTTCTGATTGACCTAAACAAGTATGAAAGGGACTGGACCTTCGGAACATTACTCTTTATTTTCGAGGGGGGGGGGGGGGGGGGTAAACCCATTATGCCGAGGCCTTCTTTCGGTACAAAATCTTAAAGTGACATACACGGCACTAGAATGGTAATCAAATCAAAACAAATGAACCTATTTTGATAGTTCTTCATCTAATGAATGAACTCCCAGTAAAAGAGACCAGTTTTCGGAAATTGCTCAAAAGCAATCTGACATTGAAGTCGTCGTAAATGCAGGTGCCCAAGCTGCTGCCAGTGGCTCACCAACACAGCCGTTCCGACCGCAAGCGGCTGGGAGCAGCTTGCCCGAGATAAGGAATTAAAGAAAGACTTTATTTACCTTAGGCAACAGCTCTGGGAAATACTTTGAGATGACGGCAAACGACTTTCCGTTGATGGCCAGATGTTTGCGGGACAGGTGTTCCTCCATGCTGACACTGGTGTATCTCTGTGGCATGGTCGGGGCAGAGGGCGGTGGCAAACAGTTTGTTGTGCAGGGAGTAGAAACAGCAAAAGTGAAAATAAGACTTGAAGGCAAAGAAAATTTTTTTTAAAGCATTTATTCATTTATCATGCTCATTAATTTACACAGCACATCCATCTTCAACAAACAATTCTTGCCAGTTTTGTGGGGGGGTTTTTTTTGTTATAGTAAGCTTGTTTTAGTAGAGGTTTTACGGCGCTCGCAACTGCATAAGGTCATATGAGCGCCAGAAGATTAGAAGCGTTACAAGAGAGTAACAAACATAAAAAAGCAGAAGGATGGATAAGGATGATAGGTGTTTGATAGGAAAGAAGGAGCAAACCAAACCAGAGCACCCGCCAGCAGACAACTTGGGACATGTGGAGAGAAAGGTACAGCTACAAGAGGAGATGGGTTGACCATATGAGATGCAGAGACACAAACTCAAAATATGGTAGAACATTTTCTAAAACGAACATAAACTTTTCAGCTTCTATTCAGCTTCAATACTTGAATTTTTCAAAAACATCCTGAAGTGCTCCCATAAAACATACTGGCATCCGCGGTGTAAGGGTTAAAATGGTGAAATGGTATAAGTTTAACGCCCCTATCAACACTATCAGGTTATTTAAGAGTAAGAGGCAGGACGTCCTAGTTTAACGCCCGCCTCCAAAAGGACTGAGCCAAGTGGGAAATTCGTGCAAGGTGCCTTTCCCAAGGACACAACGTCCGACCGAGCTGAAGCTCGAACCCGCAATCTCACGATTTTAAGTCCTGTAGCCTAACCCCTAGGCAATCGAAGCCACCATGTAAGGGTTAAGAGCTTTGCCGTCGCCACAACTCTTGAAAACAAAAGCTCCATCTTATGACATGTTGTTGTTATCGACCCAGTCATCTTATAACATAAGACGGAGTGTTTTTTTATGAGGAATCAGAGTGCACAATCTCATTGAAATAATAGGTTGTCCCCCCCCCCACCCCCCAACCCCTCTTTCCTCTTGGGGCTATATGATTAAAAAACAAACAGTTTGTGATCATTTGTCAGTTTAGAGAAAAGCACACATCAACAACACATGTCATTTAGCGCTTGGGGAAAAAAAGGAAAAAATCAATAGTAACAATAGGAGGGGGCGAAGAGAAGTAGCACCAACCAAAAGTACCCCCCACCCCCCACACACAACCATCTGCAAACATCAGTTCAAGCTAGGAAAATTCAAGACAGAAAAAAAACAGGGGGGGGGGGGGGAGGGGGGAAGGAAGTAGAAAAATTAAGTAATTGCTATTATTAATGGAGCCCTCAAATCTCTTTTTTTTTTACATTTGTCAACCATGTATATCATGGTGACTATAATGGGAACCCTCAAACCACCTGCAAAATGAAACTGAGAGCTGAAAAAAGTCGTCACTCCTCCAAGCTCTGAAGAATGGAAACTATAAGTCTCTTTCATCATCTGAGTTGGTTTAACCAAGCAATCAATACCAAAAACCCACAATTTTGATAAGGAAGCATAACAATTTTAAAATAAAAAAAGGCCAAACCAGTGAGTGGTTAGACACAGGGCAAAACAATTTTTAAAATAAGAAACCCACACCAGTGAGGGAACAGAGAGGACAGCCAAAACCAATATATGTTACAAGGAAAGATAAATGAGGTATGGTCAGTTTGTTGTTTTTGTTAAGAAAGGAGAGTTTGAGTAAAGAGCAGCGCATCCACAAATTAACGGTCATTTACTACCCTGAAATAGTACAACATGGAAAGAAACAAACAATAGAAGGAAAGAACAGAAGCAGGATCTACAACTGGTGTCTTCCACCTATCCCTTAAACAAAAATCAACTTCAGAACCAAAGAACAGAAGACGAAAGTCGATGGAAGGCGAAAGTCAAAGGCATGTCTCAAGATGTAAGAGCAAGTTGAATGTAGACAGTGAGACGAAAATGTCACTTTGTTTATAAAGCTATAATAAATGTAGCAAAGTAGTGCTTTCTAAATGGAGGTCTACATGCAACTCGTCAGAGTAGACAAAAGATGACAAAGCAACACATTCCTGAACACCAGTCCTTTCCTTGCACTCACTGCTACCGGCATTTTCTGGCACGCATTAGCCTAACCACGTGACACGCATGACGGAATAGTTGGTATACTACAAGGACTGACTAATGTTTGTAAAGAAAAATCAAGTGCTCGCTTTAGGCACCAATATTCATCCACAATTACCACAATTCTCGCTAAAAATGTATGCTTGATCTAAACCAATCACTGCTGTAATTGTTTAGACGCAATAGTCCGTCATGATATGAAAACAAAGGGTAATTTTATGAAAGTAAAGCCTCTGAACCCTGACCTTTGACCACACCCCCACTCACTTTCTAAAAGGCAAGTCCCAAAGGAAAGCGTGCTGAGATACCACTTCACTACTTCTAGACGATGTAGCATCAGCACAGTGGGGATATTATAATCAACATCAACACCAGCTGGTAAGTCAGGGACACACATATTTTGTCTAACGGTATGTTGTTGTGGTTATTGTGCTCGCATAAATTTATTTTTGTCTCTTTTGTTGAACTGACTTCCGTCAAAAGCAGTAGGCAAACTTTAAAGTAATTAAAGCCGCTTTTCCCTGTTCAGAATTTTCCCACCTTGTGTGATAAAAACTGTCATATCTCGGTAACTATGATAGGATAAAACCTTCAAATAAAAAGCAAATTGTCAGGGGAAAGCTGTAGAATAGTACTTAATTGTAACTTAAACAATCTCAATGTTGATGTATTGACACGTGTGAATGGTTTTTGCAGATACAACAGCCATGTCTTTTGTATACCCACCTGGCCCTTTGAGGTACGTGATTCTGTGACTTCAGTGACGAGTGAGCGCTGAGTCTCGCTGAGCAGCGGTGCGTTCTGTGTGATCCAGGGGGAGAGAGAGAGACTTGTTTGCTTGTTTGTTTGTTTGTTTCATTTATGAGAAGCACACAGGCACAATAATGGCCATTTAGTTGCTGGGAAAAAGTAAGACAGGCAGACAGAAACAACAGAGATGTGTTTGTTTGTTTGAGTAAAGAGGAAGCACACTGACACAATAATGGTCATTTAGTCCTGGGGAAAAAGTTGAGACAGGCAGACAGAAACGACAGAGGGATATAGAAAAGAAGTGAGACCTACCAGTGGCGCCCTCCTACCACCCGTCGAGAGAGAGTAGATGCAAAAGTGAGTAGAGGGTGAGGAGGACAAGGTGGGCTACTAGTCTTCTGAGTGCAATTCTCCTTTTTTCAAAACCCCAATTTAGACGTAGGTCATACAATAGGTATGTTCATCTAGGTGCCCTTGGGTCCTTGGCTCTGTCATTGTTTTCTCTCTGGCCTGAATCAGCATACTTAACGAACAGAAAAGGGAGAGAAGCCTAAGGACCTCTTACAGGCACCAAGGTCAAGAAAAGATTGTAATAGCAATCGTAGACATTTTCATCCCCAATCATCACAATTAATATTATTTAGGAGGCTGGCTGTTTCAGATCTGCCTGTCAGGGATAGCCCCGGCTGAGAGGGATACAACATCCCAGCAGAAAGACAGAGATACTTGATAAAAACTTCTACCCACAGGGGAATCATATTCACATCATCTGCGTGCAACGGCAAAGCGGGTAAAACTACATCATAGATACACCACACATCCAAGAAATTACTTTGGTGAAGCAATGCATTTAAACTAAGAACTCCTTCCCCCCTCCCCCCCCTTGTTTAAAGGTGTTATAAAGACTGAGCTATCAGTGCACCCAAAAACAAGGAGGAGATGAAGTGGGAGGAAAATCAAGAAATCACAAACATAGGAGGGAAAAGTGTTTGAAAAGAATAGGAAATGAGAGAAAAAGAAAAAAAAAGACGGTGGAGGGGTGGATGGTTCATCAGGAAAGAGAACTGACCTGACAGAGTGTCCAATCAATCAATTGTCTCTAATACACTGTTCCGAATAAAGCTGTTTTGTTTGCTAAATGTTTCAATCAACACAACAAATGTCATTTCACGGCAGGCCTTCTCATTTAGAAAAAAAAAAGCAGCCAGAACTACGAACTTTGAAGTGATGTAAGGGGGAGCGCTTCATTTAAAAGCAGTATAGGGGAAACGGGCAGGGAGAAGGAGGGAAGGGGGCGCTTCAGCAAAGTAAAAATTCTGCACACTTTGAAAGAAATTGGAAAAGGGGTGGGGTGGGGCTTCAGCAAATACAGCAATTTTTAAAAGAAATCTGACGGGGTAGGGGCCTACAGTAAAGAAAAGATACTGCACCTTTGAAACAAATCTGAAGAGGGTTGGGGCAGGGGGCTTTAGTAAAATACAGCAGATCTTGAAAGAAATTTGAAGTTGGATTTAGGGGGAAAGCTTCATTTAAAAAAAAAAATTTTTAATGTTAATGCTAAGAATAATTGGGGGGAGGAGAAGAGGATTGAGGGAAAGAGGAAAAAAGATGAGGTGTGGGTGGAGGGAGGGGGGAAAGGGGGGAGGGTGTTTATTTTAAAAACTGTACATTTTTAAAGCAATAAATTTTTTAACTGCCCTCCCTGTCGGAGCAACATGGACTGTGAAGGATTCACACATCCCAGATCAAATACAAGACTGTGTACGGCACATCCGAGAGCAAATGTTTTTCCTCCAGACAAATAACTCACATTATTTATACTTGCAGAGCCAAAAACTTATCCACAAAGTTATCATAAAAGAAAAAAAGCAAGAAAGCAACGTAACCACAAACATGTAACCAAATCCTTCCTTTAGCAACCAAGTGTGACAAGCAGCATTTCACACCAATGAAACCCAAAGTAATATTGCAGACTCCGTTTAAACGCAATACAAATAAGCCCTATTGTGACAGCCTATAGCTTCTAAAGGTGAACTCCTGAACTTCAGTTGGAGAGGACTGGGTTAATCCTTCTATGAATTTAACAATTGACAAGTACTAGTAAAAGCCTTTACATAAAATTACACAAAACAACATTGTCATAAGCAAATACCAGTCGTTTTGGAGTCTTTAAACAAAAGTGTGTGAGGCACAGACCAGCACAGTATCATTCTTTCAGAGCAAAAACACACAAAAAAACCAACAAATTTGCCCCCTTTCCAATAAAAAAAACCATCAAAAAATCTGAACTGATTCGCATATTCTTACACATGCTCACAGACACCGCTGTGTGCCACTCCAAATTCAACAAATGATCTCACATTCTACTCTTTTACACATGTAATATGTGTTCTTTTTTATTTTTTAAAATTTTTATTACTCTTACCCTTGAACATTCAGAAACAAATTTTTTGGGATGACATCCCCCCCCCCCCCCCCCACCCTGACTCAACCTTGGATGCTGTCTACAAAGAGTCAAGTAACCTAAACTGTATCTACGAGGGTTCAAAACTTTCACTACACATCAATCAACATTCTAGACAAAGGAAGAAGGACGCCCACAAACGCGGCTCAGAAAGAAGGGAATGTTCGAAACAAAACACTCAAGAGATGAGAAGAGTACATGGGGAGGAGGGAAGGAAACAGCTGGGAATGGGGGGTTACACTCTGTGCACATTGCCCATTGTGGATACATTCGAGTTATTTGGCACAGTCAGGGGCTGGGTAGGATTTTCTTTAATGAAGAGGAGAAAACTTCCATTTTAGCATAACTTGATCAAATCCTCCCAAATAAAACATATCTAATTAATCAAAAGTACCATATAGGGATTGAATACATCCGAGTTATTTGGTACAGTCAGAGGCCGGCTCGGATTTCCTTTCAGAAAGACTCGAGAACTTCCATTTTAGCACAATTTGATCAAATCCTCCCAAATCAAACATAGATCAAATTAATCAAAAGTACCAAATAGGCAAGATGCACTGGGCATTAGCACAACCACAGACGTACCTCATTTTCATTTTCACTATGGTGATCACACTGATGATATGAATAATAATAAATTATAAAAAGCATTTGAATAGCCCAAATTCCTGCTCAATAGAAAGCCCTGTGCGCTTTACAATCTATATTATTACCCTAGCCAACCTGACAGCATTCTGAAACAATGTCAAATTACTGGGAAGTATACAGAGCAAGCAGCATTTTATATGCCCTAAAACACTAACAAACTGACAAGATCTTGCACTGTCTATGGCTGGGTACTTATTCCCACCTGGGTGAAGCGTGGAAAAATTTGTGTAAAGTGCTTTTCCCAGGGACACAACGTCGGGCGGGCCTGAAGCTTAAATCCCTGAACTCGCAACCTCATGATTACAAATCCAGCTACCCTAATCACTTGACAATTGATGCCACATATATCAGATCAAAAGTGAAAAAAAACCTACACAAATTGCAAACACAAAAGAGTGATACTGGATTAATATTGCACTTAAAATGACGGAAGTATAGCTACACATCACATGACCCAATCAAATCCCCTCACAGATGCATACAAAAAAATTCTAATTCCAGCTTGTCTTAAAAACCTACACCATGGTGAACTGATAAAATCAAAGCTTCCCGCATTAAAACATGACAGTCAGGCCAACGAAGACTAAATGATCAAGACTAGAAAATGGTTTGGGGTTTGGGTTAAACAGATAGTTGATTATAAACAGACGATTGTTTGGGTTAAAGAGCTACGAGAAACGATGAAATATTACGTTATGAAACCCGAAACCCACAACTCATTTGTAGCAATAGCAGCACAATAATTAAAGTATTACTATTTCAAGGAAAGCTAAAGGTATTAAGCTGGTAAAATCCAAGCGGAAAATTAGAAATGAGAAATACTGATGTTCAAGAATTTAAAATGATGAAACTAAGGGAGAAGCCCAAAAGCTGCACACTTCTAAGAAGTGGAAATGAAGCTTTCAAATCCTCAAAATGAGGCAAATTCTTCACTGCCAGAATTGCTCCCACAGGCCATAGAAAAAGCCACAATTCATCTTCATCCTTCTTTCTTAAGAAATTTCTCCTTAGAGGAAGCATTGGTCATTGTTACACATTAATAGGAGAAAACTGTTATAATGTATTTGTTCCCTCAAACACAAATCAATAAAACAAAATTTTAAAAATTAACCCCCCCCCCGCCCCAAAAAAAAAAAAGGGTAAGTAAAGTTAGGTCTACGGATCATTCCTGACAAGTGATTGTGGTTCCCTCCCTCTGTCTCCACCCCCCCCCCTCCCTCTGGTCTGTACCTTCCTCCCTCCCTCCACTAACACCCTCCCTCCCTCCCTTTACTCACTCCCCTCCGTCCCTCCCTCCCCTCACCTCCACATCAGTGTCCACCTCGTTGCTTCCTGTGTCGTCCTCGGAGCAGCTGAGATTCGGTTTCTCCGCCTCCTCCCACGTGAGGCGGGCCGAGTTGGTCTTGTCCGGCGGGTGACCGTGGGCAATGATCACGCGGTCCTGTCGACGCACCATCCCACAGTTGCGGGCTACGCTGATGGCGGTCTGCAGCATGTCGCCTGTGGAAGTAAGCCCAGTCATCGGTTTATAGGGGGCTCTCTTTGTTTAGAAGTAAGGTGTACGCCTCTCATTCAAAAGGTCCTGGGTTCGAAACCTGACAGCAGCGAAAAATTTTTTGCTCTAAAACTTTCTCCTTCCACCTTCTATCTTGCTCTCTAGTCCCGTTCTGTCATCAGCTTCAATCTATACTTTCTCCCCTCACAGCCAGCCTTCTCTGGACTCCTCTCTCTTTTATTCCTAGCCCCTTCTTACTGCTGCCTTTTAGCCACACCCTGATCTTAAGGTAAGTAAGATAAAAAAAAACCGCTAGCCTTCTTGGATAAGGGTAAAAAATCTCAGAGGTCTTGTGTGCAAGTTGGGCATGTTGAAGATCCCTTAGTGGTCTTAAAATCGACAAGAGTAGGCTTCAGCCGCCATCCAGGGACAACCTGGGCTGACAGGGATACAACATCCCAGTAAATGGACTGAAATACTCAATTAACACCCCCCCTCCCCCGGCCAATGGATATCGAACTCTTGTCTTCTACATCAGATAATGAAGTGTCTACTCGCTACATCACTGACACCAGTGTCACATTCTCTGTTTAATTGCTGGGTAAACATGTTTTCGGTATAGCATTTTTCCAAATCAAGCCAAAATCTCTTCAAAATGTATAGATATTTGGTTGCTTTTAAGGACAAGCCGGCTAACCCAGATTTCCGTGGTATCCAGAAATCTTGACTTATACCAAAAGTGGGCATTGCCCTACCCACATAGAGAAATTTGGTTTCACTGTTGTGTATATTTGTTTGGTTATAAAGAAAATTCTTCTTGTCTTTTATACAAACTGAACAAGGGGCAAAACAGCATTTTTCGGGATAGCCCCCCTGTACTAAAAAGCGACCATTTCTACATTATGCAGGTATTTTACACACACCCAAAGACACATTTTCGATCACTTAGGAGGCAGGCTTTCACCCTGCCGGTCACAACTAACCCAAACTGAGAGAGATATAATGACCTAGCAGAAAGTTCAAAATACTCAAAGACCATTCTCCCCACACAGGTATTGAGCTAAGGCCTCCTGCAAGCAACAGAGATTGCCAAATGGCTACACCACAGACATCGTTATTTGTCAGCTAAGTATGTATAAAATAAAAAAACCTGACAAATTTCCAGCCAGTCAGAAAATGTTTGCGTCCAGTAAAACAAAAAAACAAACCAAAAAAAAAAGCCCAGAGATCTGACCTGTAACCATGACAGAGCGAATCTGTGCCTGGGTGAGGGTGCGGATGACCGGTGCTGTCTCAGGCTTCAGCTGGTTCTGTAGGACCAACAGGCCCAGAAACGTCAGGTCCTTCTCCACTTTCTCCCTGAGGGGGGGAAAATACATATGTGAGGCATCGTGGTGAAATCAGGCACTCGTCAAAATAATGAAATCGAAATAACTGACATTTTCCCGTTCCTTTGGCATTTTTTATCGAATTTTTGTTTTTTGACTCATCACCTTTAAGGTCCATATCAAAATACATTTCTGTGAGCATTTAACTGAAAAACATTAATTAAAGGCACTAAATATGTAATTTTTCTGTTTTCAAAAACCCCCAAGCTATTGAAGTTACCAAACTTTGGTGGCCATTTTCTCGTTAATTGTCATTGTCATTTCTGTTTACGCTATATACTTGAAGCAAGACAACTTTATTTAAATCCACTTGTAGACACCATCAGAAATGTGGTATTATGGAGTGAACCAAACAACAATCAATGGACCGCAAGATAAAAAAAAGATGGCTATGGATAGGGCACACATTTGAGAAACCAGCCCACAATGTGCCAAGACAAAACCTTAAATGGAACCCCCATGGGAGGAAAAAGAGTGGAAGGCCTAGATTCACCTCGGAGAGAGATAAAGAGGCAGATCTCAGGCATGTGGGACATAGCTGCCTGGAGGTGGAGAAGATCACCTAAAATAGAGACATGTGAAGAGTCCTTTAGGCAGCTTTACCCAATACTAAGGTGAAAGAGGCGAATGATGATGAAGATGATGATAAAACAGTGTACTAGTAAACTCACCTTGAGATCCTCTGTACCTGATGCCAGGTGACCTTGGGGTCCATGGGTCGGTACGCCAGAGCAATCACTCGGAACCCTTGGACGGAGTAGCTATGAAGAACGCTGTGGAAGTCCTCAGGGACTGGACAGAAGGAAAGAGGCATTGGGGGAAAGTTAAATTCTGAACCAGTTGAAAACAAAGATTACTCTCTTATCGGGCATACACATGACTTTCACATGAGTTCAGAAAGGCGTCTGAGCTGAAAAAAATTGTGTAGTTATTTATTAGTTTATTTTTCTTTAATGAGCCGTATATATTCGCCTACAATACAATTAAGATATTTTTTTTTAAAATAAGGTCCAAAAGGCAAGCAAAGAGAACACCTGCCAATGTGCCGTGTGTCGTAATAGGCAACTAAAAGTGCGTAGACTCGGCCTCCCGAAAAGTAACAGTTGGCGGAGGGTCAACTACCTGGCTCTAAAACCGACCCTGTAAAACTAAAAGTTACAGTAACACTAACAAACATGTCTAATCTTTTCATCTTAGGAGACAGAGGAGCTTCTGTGCCAGCAGGATCAAAGAAAGACAGTGGACAAAGCCAAACAGACTCCAGACCTGACATCTTCTCCATCAAAGAAGGAAGACATAGAATGATATCAAGCAAGAGGCAAACCCAGGAAAGGGACAGGTAGGAAGTGTTTGTTCATGGTCTATACCCCAATGCAGGGTGAGAAAGGCAGTGATGTAATGACGAGACATCTCCTCCCCCCCCCCCCCATTCTTCCTCCTCCCGATGGTTTTTTTGTTTCAGAAAGTGTTTTACGGCACTTGCAACATAATAAAGTCATATAAGTGCCAAAAATTAGATATATTACAAGAGAGTAACCAACACAAAAAAAGGGAGGAGAGACATTTGTTTTAGTAGAGGTTTTACGGCACTCGCAACTGCATAACGTCATATGAGCGCCAGAAGATTAAAGGTGTTACAAGAGAGTAACCAACACAAAAAAAGGAGGAGAGATATGGACGACAGATGTTGGAAAGAAAAGAAGGAATAAACTACACCAGAGCACCCGCCAATCACCCCCTCCTCCCAATCAACACTCCTCCCCTCACCAGTCTCTGGTCGACACAGGGAGGCCACCTTCTCCGGAGCCCCCTTACAGTAGATGTCCATGTGATCCTCGCCCATCACCCGAGTGACTACACTCATGCGCTGGGAGGAGGAGGAGAAGGTGAACTGACGGATGATGCCCACCTCAAACGGATGCTGCGGAAACAAAGAAATCACGAGTCATCTGGCTTGTTTGTTTTGTTTGTTCATTTGTTAGTTTTAATAAGAGATTTTTGTTTAGTTTCATAAGAGTTTTACAGCACTCACAACTGCATAAAGTCATATGACATGAGGGTGCGAAACACAAGTTCAGTTTTATGGCACTTGCAACACAATTAGGTCATATAAGTGCCGAAGATTTAGAGATGCTACAAGAGAGTAACAAATATACACACAAAAAAAGGCTGGAGAGTTTAAGGACGACAGATACTTGATGGGAAAGAAGGAGCAAACACCACCAGAGCACCTGCCAACCACCCACTCAGTCTGCATCAACAGTTTCTTTATCAACATCTCTTCTGTACAACACATTTCCAAATAGGCGGATCTACCAACACTCCAGTCGAATAGTAAATCGAAACTAACGAGAATCCAAACAAGCGTTAGCATCATGAACAGACTAGCATTAACAGACGTATTTTTTTCCAGCCGGTGACGCAGTCAAGAGAAACAAATGAGCAACACACACGTCACATATAGCAAGCCATTGTCATGAGATGCACACAAACTGGAGTGTTTCAAATTTTGCAACAACACTAATTAAGCGAACAACAGACAAGCCAAGAATTCCATCCATGCTGAACAACAGCGAATGCAGTAAGAGTAGCACACTGGATTCTATGAAAAAATAGCATAGCAGGCTATATGAAGAGCTGAAGGAATGAAGGGAATAAAAAGAAAGAACACACATATAGAACTGAAGATTTTGGAGATAAGATGGGAGGGGGGGGGGATACGACTTATGAGGAAACATAAACTACAAGGCTTAGCTCTATTCCATTCTCTCCATTGAATTTCATGGAAATATCTACAAGGGGCTCGGAAGCATAATTAAAAAATATAGTGCAAATATCAACAGACGTTGAAAGAATGATTAATTTTTAAAAATTCTTTACTTTATTTGGTTAAAAACAGGCAATTATTAATGATTTTATGTCTATTTTAATTAATTTAGTTTGGTTTGGTAAAGTTTTATAGCGCTCACAACAACAGTGACAGCATTAACATAGGTAGAAAAAAAAAATACAAGACATCGAAGAACGGAAAATAATTAATTAACCACTGACATGATTATTATTCTCAACCTCTCTGCCAACACAGAGAGCATTCTTCAAGCCAAGCAAAGGGAGAAGTGAAATTTTCACGAAGGCATAGAAACGTGGATGTAGTCAAAGTTTCACCCCTCAACATAATGCACTGATGAGTCTAGGATACAAAGTGCCTGGGGCCAGCCTTTCATTGCTAAACCCAGGCTGTATAAGATGCATCTCGGAAGAAGAAATATAGAGACATTCATATATAGAGACATTCATATATTATAGAGTGACATTCATAAGCGAGATTAACAGCCTATGTGGGAACAAATCCTAATGTATTTTGCATATACTGTGAACAGCGGGCGGACCACTTTTCAGTTTCAATTTGGTATGAGTTTTATGGCGCTCACAACTGCATAAGGTCACATGAGAGTGGTATTTTCGCGTAGGTTCAAAGCACAGTTTGATTTTACTTTGCACTGGCCAGATGTGTTCCCAACAACAGAAAAGAAGAAATAAACAGGCAGATTAAAGAGTTGTTTTTTTTTTTTTAAAGTGATAACAAATTTGAGAGCAGTGTTACCATCCAGGCTGAGTTTCCTGCTATACTGACACCAGCCTGAGGAACAGGTTCGAAACGGTCTGCAATCGTATTTGTCGATGTTTTACGTTCTAATCAAGCATAATTTGGACCATAAAGAAGGTAGACACTGTTTGCAGGAATAACATACGGGTGGGTTTTTTCTCTACTATTAAGAATTTTACAGCACTTGCAACTTAATTAGCTCATATTGGTGTTAAAGATTAGAGGTGTTACAAGAGAGTAACAAACACAAGAAAGAATGAGAATAATAGATGTTCGATAGAAAAGAAGAAGCAAACCACACCAGAGTACCCACCAACCACCCACAGGACACAGTCTGTTTCATCAGCCACAAAACAGGCATAACATGTACATGGTACCTAATGCAAAAACTAAGAATTTAATCTAAACCTGCATTACTCACTTCGCAGTAAAACAGCATACCCGTTCATTCAAAAGTTTTTCAAAAACTGAGAAATAACATTCATTAAACCCACTTTCCATATAATGTTTTCAACAGACAGACAGAAGGCTCCATCGTCCTTAACATTTCTTAAGCACAGACACTCCAGAATACAAATTATGGAACTCGCGTAAGTGAAAAGGGTTAGTAAATTTTGAATAAATGTGAAATTTTTTATTCCTAATCTACAAATGGGCCAACTTTCTCAGTAAGAGACCTATTATCTTCAAATATAACAGCTTTGTATGGAGGAAAGAAAAAACCCAGCAGTCATACCTACCATCTGTGAACAGGCCACAGATCATACATCAGACAGAACAGAAAAACCCGCCAAAGCCATAAGCCCATTACGGGGGGATGGGAAGGAGCAGGAAAAAGCAATGGGATTTTCTCAAAGTTGTAAAGTTGAGAGAAACAGTGGGAATTTAATTTTTGTAAGAATTTCACAGCATTTGCAACACAATTAGGTCATATAAGTGCCAAAAATTAAAGGTGTTACAACAGAGTAACAAACACCAAAAAGAAGGGAGGAGAGATGAGGGAGACAGACGTTTGATGGGAAAGAACCCATCAACCACCCACACAATAAAAGTTTTCCACAAAAGTGGGTAAAGTCATGAAAAAAGTGAGATTTTCCCAAAGCTGTAAAGAAAGGAAAAAAGTAGGATTTTGCTGAAGTTGCAAAGTACAACAAGCAGGTCAAAATTCATCTGGTTTCAAAACACAGACAACCTTCACATCTCAATGATTTAAAAAATCTCCCTGCGAGATGAATAAAGATTGTCATCATATTCCTACAAGTTTTGAAATGGCTGGGTATCCTATCAACAACAACAAAAAGTATTCGCCTACCACTGAGTTTAGCTTCAGTAGGAGTTTTAAAACACTTGCAACACAATAAGGTTACATAAGTGGCGAAGAATAGACGTGTTACAAGAGAGTAACATACACAAAAAAAGAAGGAGGAGAGATAAGGACGACAGATATTTGATTAGAGAAAAGGAGCAAACCACACCAGAGCACCCGTCAACAACCCACCACTACGACTGAGTGGAGAGAGTTGATATGCAAATATACCACTCTAGTGCATAAGCAGAAGACAGCTTATGACGAATATAAGAAAGTGAAAGCCAAATTTCTTCAGACACACAATGCGGAAAGAAGCATTGGAGAATATTGTATGCACAGGAAGTTTGATGGAAAGAGAGGCAGAGGCAGAAAGAGGGAAAAAGATACTTGTCAAGATGACAACATGGCTAGGTGCAGCAAGAACAGCAGACACTATTGCTGCAACGCAAGAGAGAGTGAAGTGGAGGTCCATGATCGCCCACGACAGTCGGCAAGGCACAGGATGATGATGATGAGTGCATAAGCAATCAACACAGGTGTCCAAAACTACAACAGATGAGTACAAACATATGAACAGCTGAAAGTTAGTGTTTGCAGAGTGAATTGACTCAAGTGGAAACAGAAAACTAGTGCTACAAAAATTCGATACACATGAACATAACTACAACACATGTGTTCAAACAAAGCAACAGTATGAGTACACAGTGGAACAAGTTTGCAAGGGTGTACAAAAATACAAACATGAGTATCAACATACAAGGAATTGATGCACATGTTCAAACATTCAATACCCGCTGTGAAAACATAAGAACAGTCATGAGTTTTTGTTGTTGGTTTTTTTTTTTGGTAAGTATTTTACTGCGCTCTTACCAAAAAAAAAAAGTAATGAGTTTGACGAAGCCTGTGTGTGCGTTGTGAGGTGTGCAACAACAGACATATACAGACCCGATACATTAGGCTCGGGTGAAATATTATGGGACACTACGACAACAAACTCATCTGCGCTAAGACATCTTCTTTTTATATACAAGAGAGTACATAACCCTTAGAGCCACAAGGGCTACCCCAGGAAAGCTGATTTTTTTAAACCCCATCAGAAATATCAAGAACACTTTACAAGTGCACCCTCTAAAATATGAATTAAGACTTTTGAACAACAACAAAAAAATCAAGAAATCTCGAAGGCCAAAGTATGCATGTTCAGCTCCCAACAATCATGATAAAAAAATGTGTAACTAAAAAAAGGTAATGTAATAGGTACTTTTTAAAAGGTTTTGTACTTTTCAGATGGATGGCATTCCTAAGCTATGATGCGAATTCACCCGAGGTTTTGATTGACTTATTTGACTAAAGAGAAGCACATTAACACAATAATGACCATTTAGTGCTGGAAAAAAGTAAAACCGACTGCAACAACAGAGGGAGTGTCCTTCAAACACCCATACCTGAGGTTCTAATTCTATGTACACATTATCTAAAAAACAGAGGGGCACATCCATGTAATAATGCTTATTTGGGGCTGGGGAAGAGCACAACAGATGGAGAGAAGCAACAAAAGGAAAGCAAAGAAGTTAAGTAGGACTAATTGGAAGTGCCCTCCCAAACACACAAACATATTGCCTACTACTCACGATATATCAAAACTACTATTACTATGCTTACAAGTATCGGGGGACCTCCATGCAACAAACGCACACAGTATTCTGGCTGGAAACCTCAACTTATCAAGGATGAAGCTGTACCATGAAAGAGTTTCCATTGACCATTTCAAATTTCTTAAAGAAGGCAAACTTCACTTTTTGCATTGGCAGTAAACAACAAATTTATCCAAATTAAACACTTATGAACCAACTTTTATCATCATGAAGAGTAAATTTGAATCCCAAAATATTAATTTTTTTAAGCCCAACTGTGGACTTAGTACAATACAGTCTGCACAGACCTGTGAAGCAAATTATCATCTATTTGTACCAGCATCAGACAAGAAGCAAAGCATGTGCAGAAATAAAAGGATTTGAATCCCCTCCCCCCCCCCCCCCTATCTAAACACTAATAAGTCTTGTACATTAGGATATACTGTGCAAATGTGCAATGTACATAAAAATTACAAAATTAATTGAATTCGGAGATCTAAATAGGGAGGTGGGACAATAAGCCTGGAGTAAAAAAAAACCCCAAAACACAGCAGACAACTAGAAATGCAAAAAGCAACAACTACAATTGCTTCCTAAGTTGGCAACTGGAAAAAACACTGGAAGGACAGCGAGGACAGAAATAACTACAATAACAACAATACCAGATATCATCAACATCCGACCTTGACCTTACCTCACGCTGAAGGGCTTCAAACTCCTCCTGAAGACCAAAGTCAAATGGACTTGAAAATCTCTTCTTTCCCAACATTTGAAACAAAATCATACTTCTTTTTCTTTAAAAAAATCAAAGAAGCCAAAAAAAAAAAATGGACTCTGGTACTCGCATAAGGTACAGTTTCTTCTTCAAAAGAAGATCATTTTCACGGTAATAATTAAAACAGTTTCACCAATATTACCATATCCCAAAAATCAAAGAAGTATGTAGAAGTAGTTGAAATAAAATTGTATTTTGGGGATTATACACACTTTTTATGATAATAGATTGTGAATGTTTTTGACACCCTATGAGACACAGTATAGAAGGTAAACCTGCTTGTCAGGACCATACTGGGCTGAGTAGGAAACAAAAAGCATCCCAGGGACAGAAAGACAGAGAGACTCAATAAAATAAATATCACATGATGGTCTGAGTTATTAGTCTTTGTAAACGTTTTACAGCACTTGCAAAACAACATGGTCATAAATCTGTCTTGTGTTACAAGGGAGTAACAAACACAAAAAAAGGAGGAGTGATAGGGACGATAAGGACAACAGATATTTGATAAGAAAAAGGAGCAAATCACACCAGAGCACCCATCGACCACCAGCTCACATGATGGCATCACTTCTTGTACTTATGTGGGCTGAGTTGAACACATTAAAAGGCACACCACAGGTATCAGTCACTCGTCTTTTGGTTCTGTATTTCTTGCTCGGTACTTACGTTTCCTATATAGATCACATACCACATGATAGCAGTTCATGCAAAAAGGAGGCACAAAGTCCGAGGTCAAGACTGGATTTTGTCGGATAAAGAATAGTACATCAGTATACTCCGAATACAAACGGCCATCTAGTATGACAGACAGAAAGCGACTGCAGAGGGAAAGAAAGAAGTAAGACCAACTAATTGCATCTACCAACCACTCACAAGCTTATGATTAACACATAGAGTGCAAAAACTGAAGGATCAGAAGCAATACATTGTGCTTAATGATAAATATCTAGGTGTTTTTTGTTTCAGTAAGACAGACAGAAAGCAGCAACGGAAGGAAAGAAAGAAATAGGATGGCACTTGCAACACAATTAGGTCATGTGAGTGCTAAAGGTTACAGGCATTACAACAGAATAACAAACATAAAAAAGGAGAGATAAGGATGATAGATGTTTGACAAGACAAAAGGAGCAAACAAGGCCATAGAACCAGCTGAGCCAGCCTGTCACCCACATCTTGGGGTTTCAAAGCTGCATGAAGAAAACACCAACAACAATAGTAAAAAGGAAGTGTGCTTTTAAGTATACCAAAACACTTTCTGATGGCAGCTCCTTCCCTCCCTCCTCCTCCTCCTTTCTTAAAACCAAGAATAAAGAACAAAAATTAAAACTAGCCAATTAGGAACATTTCTGGGTCTGGGATGCTTTCTAAAAAATTATAAATGATTTCTAAAGATTTATTTAATATCTTTTAGTTTTAGTAAAAGTTTTACTGCACTTGCAACATAATAAGGTCATAAAAGTGGCGAAGAAAAGAGGTGTTACAAGAGAGTAACGAACATAAAAAAGAAGGAGGAGAGATAAGGATGATAGATGTTTGATAGGAAAGAATGAGCAAACTACACCAGAGCACCCGCTAACAACCCACTTTATATCTTTCTTTTAATTCATTTTGTCTCATTTTTCTCCAGCACCTATAGAAGCTTACAACAGAGGACAGGAGGACAACACGAATGAGTGACATGCACCCTGACACGTGTTGGTAGGTCACCAACACACCTCTCACCAGACACATATGTACACAGATGTGGACAGCTTACAAATAACCAAGAGTGAGTTCGTTAGTTTTTTTAGTAGAGGTTTTTACGGCGCTCGCGACTGCATAAGGTCATATAAGCGCCAGAAGATTAGAGGTGTTAGAAGAGAGTGACAAACATTTAAAAAAAGAAGGGGAGATAAGTACGATAGATGTTTGATAAAAAAAAAGCAAACCACACAAGAGCACCCGCCAATCTCCCACTGAGTCTGTTTATTTGTGTAAAGAAAAGCAAATCTACACAATAAGGCCATCTAGATCTGGGACATAGCAAGAAAGACAGACAAACAGAAGCAACAGAGAGAGAGAGAGAAAAGAAGTAAAATCTACCAAGTGGCACCCTTCAACCACTTACATGATGTGTGAGTAAGGCATGTTAGGAGTTAGAGAGAAAAGAGAAGCACATCGTCTACTCACTAACAGCCATTTTAGTACATGCAAGGAGCAAGATAGAAAGACAGAAACTGAAGCAACAGAGGGAAGCTAATGAAGCTAGACCTACTAGTGGCACCCTCCAACCACCCACAGGCAAGCTGGGGGAGGGAGTGGAATAGAGCACACACATTCTCTCTCCCCCATCTCTCTCTCTGTCTGTCTGTTTGTCTGTCTCTCTCTCTCTCTCTGTCTCTCTCTTTCTCTGTCTCTGTCTCTGTCTCTGTCTCTGTCTCTGTCTCTCTCTCTCTCTCTCTCTCGGCCCCCCCCCCCCCCAAGAAAAGAAAAAACCACACATACATTAAAAACAAACGGACAAATAAACATTCTAACACACAGACATACACACACACACACACACACACACAAAGGCATCCTCCCATCTTTCAAAGCAAGCAAGCAAGCAAGCAAGCACTGACCTCCTCCCCCAGGAATGTATCGGAGCTGTAAGGCTTGACGACAGTCGGCATGATGGTGTCGTACTTGTGGGTGTCAGTGCCGGGCTCCTCCAGGTGCTACGTAGGAAAAAAAAGAATAAAATCATGCTGTTTTAAACTTTCAAATTTTTTTTGTTTTGTTTTTTTTTGTTGTTGTAGTAAGAGTTTTACGGCACTTGCAACACAATAAGGTCATATAAATGCAGAAAATTAATTTTTTGTTGCAGTAAGAGTTTTAGGGCACTTTCAACACAATCAGGTCATATAAGTGCAGAAGATCAGTGGTGCTTATAGAGAGTAACTTTCACAAAAAAGAAGGAGGCGAGAAGAGGACGATGGATGTTCGATAGGAAAGAAGGAAAAAAACCGGCACCAGAACACTTGCCAACCTCCCACAATCATTTATTTGTTTGAGGAAAGAGAAGCAGCATGTTCATGCAATAAAGGCTACTTAGAGCAGAGGGGGAACAAAGATAGATAGTTAAGTTTAGTAAGAGTTTTACAGCACTCCCAACTACATAAAAAAGATTTTTTTTTTTGTAATTTATGGCGCTCGCAACTGAATAAGGTCATATGAGCGCCATAAGAAAGATAGATAGACCAAAACAACAGAGGGAAAGAACAAAAAGAAAAAAACGACTGACTGACTGACCCATTTGATGGCGTTGAACATGATGAGATCGAGGGGGTCGCCGCTGAGCTCTCCGTCTATGATGGTCAAGGAGTGGCAGGAGGCCAGACCCACTAACAGCGGGCAGCGTGGAAGGGTGGACGGGTCGGAAACATGATGCCGGAACCTGGTAGCACACAAAGACAGAACATGTCATACTTCTTTTTTTGGTAAGAGTTTTACAGCACTTGCAGCAAAATTAGATCACATAAGTGTTGAAGACTAAAGGTATTACAAATACCCCCCCC